CCGCAGTCTATATATAAGTATAAAAATTGTTAGAATGAAAACTAAATGACTTTTATATTCTACAAAACAGTGCGATAAAATTGTCAAAAGTTTATTGTTTAAATAAATAAATAAACAAAATTTATTACAATGTCTATAGCGCGTGAAATACGCTATCAGATACGAGAATGACCGCGTAAATTGTTTAAAATAAGTAAACTCGACAAGTAGTCGAAGGTTAAAAGATTTATGTTGTGTAATGCACTTACTCGAAAAATTCTGGAATTCACGATTGAGCATTAAAGCGAGTCGGGCGACAATAATGACAGCAGGGGATGCTGAAGAGAAAACGGTTGTTGGGTCGCGCTTGCTCGGCACGAAGGTCCTTGGCCCTAGCTTCTTGAGTATACACGATTACACGTTCGTTGCCTGTGGGCAACGTTGGATTGGAGGTCGTCGGTTTCAGGACGACGGAATGCCGCGAATCGGGACGCTCGACGTCAAGTTCACCTGCTTCTTTCGATGATTCGCGATCGTTTGGGACCGATCTGACTCCTCGGCAACTGACGGTATTAGACAGTCAGGGACAGAAGGACAGCACAATTTAACTCTTTAGGGTTAGATGGGTTAAAAACTGTCCCACCTTTTGCTTAGCTTTTTTTATGCATGGTGGGATATATTTTAACCAACCTCGAAAAGTTGAAGTTACTCATAGTCATACAGTTTAATATTTTATTTTTATATAATTTTTTTTATATTAAAACAAATTCTGTGCAACTAGGGTTTTTATTTTATTTAAAATCGTGTGCCTCAAAGAGTTAAGGGGTTACATACATGGGCGTAGGCAGCCACCCCCCCCCCCTAGACGGAAAAAAGTGGCGTTTGTCCTACCCTACAAAAAAAATTGGATTTTGCCCCCCCTCCTCCTCCCTTCCCAGAGTTACAAAATTTTTGCGTAATATTTAATATTGCAGTATAATTTGAAAGACGACCAACAGCCTCTATCAACAAAATGCATACATGTTCAACGATTTATGACTTTAAAAAGAAAACAATACTAGTATAGCCTTTTTCATTGTGTTAGTCGATGAGTTAATATTTTTGCCCCCCTCCCGACTGATAACCTGGCTACGCCCATGGTTAGAGTTTAGCTGTTAAATTAAAAGGGAAAAGTAAAGTATAGTTTAATTTTTATATTTTTATTATACTTTTATCTAAGCTTAGTTGAGCTGCTAAATTAAAAGGGAAAATTAGAAAATTTTGTTGTATATGCAGAATTGTTGTTTATTAAAAATTCAACATATACATTTTATTGTATGTTATTTCCGTAGCAATTTCTGAAAAATGGAGCTATATATCTATCAACAGAAGAGAATGGCGGCCATTTAATTATAACCCATTTCATTAAAACACCATCTGAAGTACCAGATATCTCTCTGTGGGCTTTTATCTGAAACAAGTTGTTTTAATTTTATATTAAAGTAGAGAAAAAGAGCTGGTACTTGTCGAAACCGATTTTGAAAATATGAATATTTTACAAAATGGCGGCTGTTTGGGATTACACTTGTAGTTTGCGACATAAATATTCAACTTCTTTTGTTACTAAAAGAAGAAAAAAATCGAATACTAGATTCTGGTACTAAGAATATTACCATAAAGTTTGATCCAAATTGGTTCGGTAGATTTTTCAATATCGTGGACGCCATTTTAAAAAATAGGTTTGACAAAAACGTGTTCAAATTTAAAAAAAAAAAAATAAACAGTTATCTATCGATTTTAAAAAAATTCTGTTCGAACTTATATATTTCGTTTAAGAAAATATTTGCTCCTGTGGAATTTTTATGGAAAGAAATGCTACCCTTAGGAACTTCTTTAAAAAGTGTTCTCGTGGAACAGATATTTTAGAATCTGTATAATAAAAGTTCCACGGAAACGAGTTGTTTAGGTGATTTATTAAAAAAGGTTCCACGAGACAAGTAAACGTACCTATTAGGTAGTTTTATTTAACAATATATCATATTAGTCATATGTTTATTTAATAAAAAGTATGAAAAACATAAGTAATTAGTAGCTTCATAAGAAGTATTGAACAGAAAAGAGAACTTGTCAAGGATAATACCTAAATAACATTTTTTTATAACTTAAATGAATTGGAATACGTAGAAATTCTGCAATACAATATTATAATATGTATACATATACCTACGTATTTTATTATTATACTATTTAATATTTGCTATTCAGCGCGATAGTATCTATTATAACTATAATAGTATATTATCGTGTTAATATAATTATTTAATATTGTCGTAGTACTATTCATTGAATAGTATTCAGTATTTGTTACAATGCTTGAGAACTGTTTTAATATTAATGAACAAAATATCTGTTCCCGTAATAGACAAATTTTTATTTTCATATTTTATAAGCTCTATTCAAACTAAAACTTTCGTTTTCATAAGAACTTATAATGTGAGAACGTCGTTTAAAAAAGTTCCACGGTCCACATTTTAAATAAGACCTATTAAAAAATTCCATAACTTTTTCAAAGCCTGCTTTATTTTTTGTTATAGGTTCGAGAATTTTATGACTTTCACCATTATATTTTAGGAACACATTTTCAAGACTCCAAACTATAACAAAATGCAAAAAAAGAATCCCCTTAAAATACTCCTTTGACTCGTGATGGAGCAAAACCGTCGTATTTCGGGGGTTTCTCCAATTTATTAATCGTGTTAGAGCGAAATCATGTTATGTCACATACTCTGTGTCCCAACTACGGAGGCTTTAAACCAGTTTGCGCAATCATATATTAACAAAAAAATACTGCTACATCAATTTCATATTTTGACAATCAATATCTGTTGCTAAACAATTCCCTTTTATGAAGGAATTTTTTTTAAATAAAAAAATTAAATCTTTGCAAGGTATTTAATTAAATACAAACACTTGTTCTTGTCTGTATTACGGAACCCTTTCAGTAGCTGCATATGTATTTCGGTGCCCCCAGTTTCGGATCCTGTTCACGTTTCGGTGCCCCGTATTACGGAGTCTTTGAATGTCGCTCCTAACCTGACTTTGGTGAGATAGGGCTATTTTGTTCCAAATATTGTTGAATTATGGTGAGTCATTTAATAAAAAAAAAACACGTAATTATGTAATAAATTTAATTGATGTAATACTTGCTATAATTCACTTCCCAGATAGCACATGACGCCTTGAAGACGGCTTAAAGACGCCTTAGACCTAAAATAGCCGTAAAACAGGCGTCTTTAAGATGTCCTCTGTTATCTGGGATTTAGATAACGAAAATACGGCTATGGGGAAGACCCACGAAGGCTCCGTATTACGGACAAGATTGAGAATCTCGCGGTGGTACAGAATTTCCTTAAAAGAAAAAATGAAAATATTTGTAGGCACTGAATTAATTTTTTTTAATTACACTAAACCTATTTAAGATATAATATGCACTTTATACAGTCAAAATGCTGCTAATAACTGATTAATATGAAATAGTTCAGTAAGCATTCCTTAAAGTTCTAGACAAGAAATTCTATGAAATCACCGAAAGCGTAATGCATATATTTGAATAAATACTTATAACATTGTAACATGTTAAGATTGTCGTTTGTTACTTTGAATCTTATTTGTTAATTGATTAAATTTATTTAAAAAATTTTGTTTACGTTTATTTATACATGTATTATTTTTTTAATGGTGGTTTTAATACAAAGGCTCCATAATTGGGACACATACCCTATACAGGTGTTGGCTGTAATTAAATTTTGCTGGCTCGATTAATCAGTTACATCATCCATGCATGTCGTTAACACGACAATAGTGCGCTAACGACGACGAGTCTCGCCTATCCGAGGCATCCAGTATCACCTTTCCGATTCGTGGTCGTTTCAGATCATTCGATACCTGATCTCTGGCACGCGATGCTTCTTCCATCGTCGCTAACGAGAAAGAGCGTTAACTATAGACCGAATCATGCCAGCCTGGGATCGCAATTAACACCAGGCGCGTGAATCAACCGATCGATCTTCACACGCACCCTTCACATTTAATGCTTCTTTGCCCCGCGAGAGAAACCACGTAATTCATCGGTGGAACTGTTTTGGGCGAGTTATGATTTTGTATCGAACGTTGCACCTAGGAAAATTTCAAGTTTATGGGGGTAATTCTATTCTTTCGGCTAAAAACGTAGCAAAATCTGAGAATCTTTGCTTTTATTCATCTTTGAAGAAGTTACTGTTTTTTTAAAATTAATTTTTAATAATAACCATCACGCAGCGCAAAGTTCGTCGCCCGCTGGTGAACATGATATTTATCTTCCAGATAATCTTAAACGGAAGAATGAAACGGCGTTAATAAGTTTAAGTTTTACTTTATACATACAGGGTGGTCCACGCAACACGTACACCTCAAATAACTTTTAAAGTATGCATTGTATAAAAAAATTTGTTGTACAAAAGTTTACAAAAAACAATTGTACTTGTAGTTGTACAACAATTAAAGTAGATATTTACATAAACATTCATAGTCTAATAGATTATCCGAATCTATTTATTAATATTTATTAGGGTGAATCGTACATTTTTGTTGAGTTATTTAACAAAAAAGTATAGTGTAAGAATAATTAAATCGAACTTCGTCTGCATTTCTGTAAATTACTACCTATAACAAGGCTAATTACTTCGACTATTCAGATATCCTTTCCTCGAAGTGCATACATCCCTACAAATTAAATTGAAAATATTGAATTTATCAGAACTCTACGTATACTGTTAATCATTTCAAATTGCACTAAAATAGTAGCAAGTCAAATTTTGCATACAATTATAAATTTTCTACATGTTAAATGAAGATTAAAAGTAAACTGCAATTAATGTTTGCGTGAAACTGATACGAAATCCAACGTCGATAGAGTATTTTCCAACCACCTAGATCACCATTTTTCAATCTTCTAAATAATAAAATAAAATAATTATTTCTAATTAACTGTTAATCTTTTGCAGATCTGCAGTTGGCGGCAGAACTTGGCAAGACACTGTTAGAACGGAATAAAGAATTGGAGAACATGATAAAGTCGCAACAGACCATTGTCGAAGAACAGGCACAAGAAATAGAGGTAATTCATCAATCACTATGTTTCAAGTTACTTACAATGCCGGAAATATTTATTCCATCACTCTCAAATTTAGTAATCACAATTTTCATAGCAATATGATTGATAAATTGATTAGTATCCAACTTATTTTGGCCAAGACAGTGAGTCACACATTCTTGCAATGAATATCCATTTTAATTGCATTCGTAATACAGTAGAGTCTGCCGTATCCGAACTAATAGGGAGACGTACGTGTTCGGATAATAGAATAATCACTTTTCTGATAACCAACTTCATTTATTTAAATAGAAATCGAGAAAACTGACAGTCTGTTTAAATATTTATTTATGGCTACCATATCCTTTTGTCTGCTGAATTACAGAAATTTTTCGACATAAGTGACTGTGTAAAATTCGATCGAATAGAAGAAGTATACAATGTATGTGTAAACACTACATATTTTCAACAAAAAAAGCATCTGTTGCTGGAGATACTGTGTTCGGAAAACAGCAGGTTCGGATAGTAAAACGGTTGGATGACAGAACGTTCGGATAACAGATCGTTTGGATAGTAGTACCTTCAGATACCAAAATGTTCGGATAGTAGAACGTTCAAATAACAGAATGTTCGAATAGTAGAACGTTCGGATAACAGATCGTTTGGATAGTGGTAGCTTCAGATAACAGAATGTTCGTATAGTAGAACGTTCAAATAACAGAATGTTTGGATAGTAGTACCTTCGGATAACAGAACGTTTGGATAATAGAACAGTCGGAAACAGATCGGATAGTAGAACAGTCGGAACAAATAGTAGGACGTTCGAGTAACGGAACGAATAGTAAGATGTTCGAGTAACAAAATAGATAAGAGTACATACGTTGGGATAGTAAGGTGTTTGGATAACAAAAAATTTAGATAAAAAAATGTTCGGATAATAGAACGTTAATGTATTAGGGTATTCAGATAATGGGTGTTCGCATACGGGAGATTATACTGTACTACATAATAATAAAAGAGATTTAAGAAATAAGTAACGTGTTTAATATTCGAGCGATGCAGTTGGTATTTCCAGTTAATGTACCCATATTAATGGAAGTCACGTGCTTATTTAAACGTGAATGTTTTTCTAGTACATGAAAAAACAGACCGCTGCACTAAGGGAAGTAAACGATTCACGACTAAAAATTTACGAGCAACTTGAAGTTAGTATTCAGGACTTGGAGCGAGCTAATCACCGTCTTGTAATAGAGAACACGAGCGACAAAAAGCTCATCAAAAGGTATGAGAATAGTTGCAATATTTCAATAATATTTCTAGAGAAGATTAATACTGAATTGATAAACGGTTCATAAGATGATATTACAGATACATTTTTTTGCAAATTACAAAAAATAACATTTATTACTAAAGTTACGGATGTTTATGCAATTTCTCACTGTTCGAGAGTTTTCTATAAAAATCAGAATGATCTCATTTCACTGGTATATTAAACTAGTGAAAAAATAGAAACTTTAGTCTACATAATCTGCGATTTGTTTATAACACTTGCTATTATATATTTTATTGCATTTTTTATACTTTTTTCTTTGTTTGTATTTTGTATTCTGCATAAGCAGTTCTGAAAATAAACTAATTGCTATTAGTTTCACATTACATAATTTTGTTTTAAACACGAAAGACACCTGGGTTATAGGCGGTCAAATGAGCCGTTCATTTGCGAAAACGATTAAGTCCACAAAATTTATTTTAAATATATAATATTTTATATTAAATTTATTATAAATATATGTATTAATCAAGATTTATACTGATGCAACTTATTAATATTTCCAATGTAAACGTTGCTTAACCCGCCAGCTGCATTTGTCTACTACAGTTTTTCTTTATCGTGAGCAAACACATTGTTTGTAAAAAAAAGATATTTTAAATAGTTTTTAAATGACTATTTGAACTTGAGTTTATGAAAAAAATGTTTGCCCTAAATACCAAAAAAATACATTGAGCGGGTGAAATATACAATTTCACGCTATAAAGTGTACATATGTATGTAGTTCGATTCAGATCAGCTTTTAATTCATATTTCTTTTCTTATTTTGCAATCCTTGAACAGCCAATGCTTAACGATCGAGAGTCTAGAAGCCCGGTGCGAGGAGTTCCAGAAGAAAATCGACGAGGTACACGAACAACATGAAAGTCTACTTCGGCAACAGGCCACGAGCAAATCGACGACTACCGCGCACACACAAACCACTTTATGGAAAACATCGGTCACGCCGGGTGGCAGCACACAACAGGTGATTAATATTCATAGAATAAAATTTCCATGATCTCAGATAAGTCGAATGATTATCGGTCGGTTCCGTTTACCCACCAAACTTCGAACGATGGATGGGATCTCGGTTTTCATCGTGCAAAAGGAAGAAAAAACCTTGCAACGCGAAGTTTCTATTCCGTTTTCAGTCTTAACAGCTTCCTAACAATCTCCTAACTGTTTTGCACGAGAAAAATACGGTGTCAAATTAATTCACTGGAAATGTTTTTCTTCGAATGCTGTGGACGCACATATGCGTAGGGATAAACCGATACCGCCAAGGTATCGATAGTGATGTGACTGATACCGTATCGATATTAAGTGTTAAATAATGGAATTAACACTAAATCTATAATATTATACTTTATTCAGTTTTTAAAAAATACAGCCATGACTGCAAACACATGGAGGCCTGAATCGTTGACTGACTCAGTCTATTTCTCCTTTTAGTAATTAAATTGCCAGCTTTCGAAAACGATTGTTCGCTAGGGACACTCGTAGCTGGTACTGACAAAATGTCCAAGGCCATTTTGCGTAAATTTGGAAAAGATGTTTTCCGCTGGTTCCACCAAGCGATTGGATCAATTTCTTCGGATTCTTGTTCTGTATTTATATACATATCAATTTCATCACAGAAATTACTTTCCTTTGCCTTATAAATACTAGAAAATATGGAAGCAGTAGAACATCTCGTCCCTGCCTCCTCGGTTTGTAGCTGTTTTGCTGTATGTTCTTCTGAATAATAATTTATTTGAAAATAGTGCTTTAATTTTTTTAAAGCATCCAGATTTCCTCTCTTCACAAAATAATCATTATTTAGACGGGGATTCAAAATTACCGAAAATTCACTGAAATCATTCAAGAGTGGTGCTAAATACTTATTCAATTTTGTTTCCATAACGGTAGCACATGCTTTAAGAAAAATGTCGTCTTTAAAATTAGATATGTGCTGCAATAGTATCTAAATAGAAGTAAATAAAAATTAGTTAATTAATAATAGTAAATAATTAAAATTTATATGTTGTAATTTATAATAATACATACCTGAATAACAATTTGTACGTAACATATACTGGGATATTTCGATTTTGATAAGATAAGGGTAGCTTCATTAAAAACGCTAAGATATTTCGCTATTAATTCGATATTGTCCCAAGAATCAATATTGTATTCAATAAATTCTCTCCTTTCTTCACACAGATAATTTAGAACTGCTTTCATTGTAATAGCGCGTTGTAACATTAGGTATGTTGAATTCCAGCGAACTGGCATATCTTTAATAAGTTCTAAATGTTTTACATGTAATAAAACGCAACACTCTTCATATATTTGTTTCCTCTTACCAGAAAACGTAATAAAGTGAACGAGTTTTGATATTTTATTAACTTCGGTCTGGATTTCTTTTAAACCAGTTTGTACTACTATGTTCAAAACATGAGCAATACATGGAATATGAGTTACATTTTTGTAATCTCCATTAAATGTTTTTAATAATGATAGGCATTTATAATTTACTGCTGCATTATCTGTGGTAAGAGCTATAAGTTTATTTCTAAGATCAAATTCTTCAATAACGCGTTTAATTTTTTGCACAATGTTTTCGGCTTTATGAGGGTATGGGATCATGTCAAAATCAATTAGTAATGACTGCATTGTACCATTCATCGTAAAGTGGCTAGTGATAACAATATATGGTTTGTGTGTTACGGAGGTCCAAAAGTCAAATGTTAATGATATTTTATGATTTGATTCTCTAAAATGTTGAATAATTTTATTCTTTTTTTCCTTGAACGTACTCTGAATTAACTGATTCATGGTATACCTGCTAGGAACTTTATAATTTGGGTTCAATCCACTCACGAAATTAACGAAAGCTTCTTCTTCTACAATACGCAGTGAATGACTTCCCTGAAGTATGAACTTCATCAACAGATTTTGAAGAACAGAAACAGATTTTGTCTCATGTTTCCCAACATTTTTGCGTGTTGCTTGCGAAACATTTCCTTCATGTTTCTTATAATGTTTTCTTAAAATACTATGCGATGTTTTGAAAGAAAAAGAATGGTTACAACTACGACACTGTACTTTATCCTCTTCTTTCTTTTCGAAGCAATTCCATTTCCACGAACTTCTATGATGGACCTCTGTCATTGTTGCCTCGTGTTCGTTATCAGAGATTCCACTAAAAGAACTATTAAATGACACCGATGCTTCATCCATTGTACAACTTGATTTGTAATTTGAATTTTAAATTTTAAATTCTATATAAATTCCAGTTTATTATCCGGCCTTTTTATATCTTTTATAGCGTTTCTGCTCACTATATTCTTGCTTTGGTTGTTTCTTAAAACTAATTGATTGTTACCGTCATCGTTATTTCAGTTCCCTTGACGATTGAAACAAAATCGGTTCCTTCGCCTTTATGCTCTGCACGGTACGTTGGCGTACAAAATCACTCATACGCTGAGTATTGTATTTTACGAATTTGAAGTATTTAGAACTTATTAAAGATATGTCAGTTCGTTGAAATTTAATATATTTAATGTTAGAACACGCTATCAAAATTAATGCTTTGAGATTATCTCTATGAAAAAATAGGAGAATTTGTTGAATACGCTATTGATAATTAGGGCAGTATCAAATTAATATTAAAATATCTTAATGTGTTTAATAAAGCTACACTTATATAGTATAGTATATGTTACTTACAAGTTACTGAGATACGATTACAGTAGATACATACCTATTTAATGTAAAAGACTATATTCTTCTTTAAAAATATGTTACTGCTATGGAAATCAAACTAACTACAAAATGAAAAATCAGAGACACACCACGGACCAAAAAGTACTATCCCCTTCTATATTTTCTAATATGTGCGTACTGTAAACAAATAAATACTTTATTGTAAACAATATACGTATCACAAGAATTTGAAGACACGGATCCGACCATTTGGTGGAACTATCAAAACGCATTTTTTCTATATGTTGAAAGTTTTAAAGTCGTAGTTGTACAAACAAAGTAAATGAAATATAATATTAAGGACTTGGTGTTAATTTCATTATTGTTAACACGCTAACCGCCATCGTGGTCATAGATAACCGGCACAACCGAACTCAATAAAATTGCGTAAAATCCGCAAACAATAACGTTTATAATTTTGCAAATACAATGAATATTAGAATGGTAGTTGAAAACAATAAGTGCAAACATGAACATGTTGCACAATATATGTATATAATCAACTTGTGAAATATTTTTTTATATGATTCTCATGGGCAATCACTCTTTAGCGCTGAAAACACAACCAGCAGAAACACGCTCGGCAGTGAACGTGTTAAACATAAAAGCCTCGAGGTTCGGGGCTCGAGCCTCGCCTACTCAAAGCCTTGAAACTCGAGCCTCGAGCCTCGACGACTCGAGCCTTGGAGCTCGAGCCTTGAGCCTCGAGCTTCATATGATTGTAGCCTTAAAGACTGAGTCTATACTCTAAGCTTTGTAGCTTCGAAGACTCGAGCTTTATACAACACTATTCATACATATTCAAAGACATACTTTCTCACGCTAGATGTATATTACAATCAAAAAAACACATAAACATAAATTAGCATGCCCAATAACAAATCAAAGAAATACAAATAAAAACTATATACTGTATAAAGTCTGTGGGAATTGTTACTATTCTGGGTATTCCTCCTTTCACCCGATATTTAAAATTTGTAACTGAAATGTGGACTGTAGTTCTAGGGTTAAAGTGGAGATTTATTAGATCTTCCAATAAGTAATCCATTACAGTAAGACCTCGATTATGCAAACTGATAAAAACAAAAAATTATTATTTATTACACAATATGCATATGTGTACATATAGTCTTAACAAACAATCATTTAAAATGTGTTTCTGCCGTGCATAGAAGTTCGGATAACAGAACGCTGGATTAAGCGATAAACGGTGTCCAGATAATTGAAGATCTACCGTATACCCAATCAAATTCAGTACTTTTTTTCTGGGAAATCAGAAACCTATGGCCACTTTAGTCATACTTGTTCTTGTCCTTCAAAGCTTTTTATTATTTTTAAAAACGAACAGGGCAGAAACATGTTTTGAATTCAAACTGTCACAGTTTATTAGAACGCAATACTGACCTACTTGTTGATACATAAATAGTTATGCATTGTTTAGTCAATTGATATATTTTAAATACACATACAGTACGAGGTAGAGGTGCGAGTATCGGTTACGATAAATTTTCGATATCTTATTCGTACTTACCAATAATTCAATAATATCCTTAAGATATCGTAACAAAATCATTTAAAATTTAATTATTTCTATTGGGACTTACATATTATAAATATAAACATAACACATACATATATTTTTCTCGAAATTATACATCGTTAAAAAATATTAAAATATTCATAGATATTCAATAAATATGAGTAGGTACAGGAGCCAATTTTGATAAAGTACAAAAAAGTAAAATCAAATATTGATTCCAATTTTGCATCAATAAAACATAAATTGGGCACTTTAATATTTTTAACGATGTAATTTCGAGAGAAATACATGTGTGTGTTATATTTATATTTATAATATATAACTTACAATATACACATAAATACACCAAAATTCTTTCAGATAGGAGAACAAAATTACAGCCAAAATACACTATAATATGTTGTCCGTAATAAGTTAAAATAAAAATAAATAGATTTTAAATGATTTTATTACAATTAATGCGTTGCAGTCTACCTCAGTCGTGATATTTTAACGACATTATCGATATATCGAAATATCGATAATATTTCGATATTGTCGACATTTATCGATAACATTTCGATATTGTCGACATTTATCGACAACATTTCGATATTGTAGATATTTATTGAAAACATTTCAGTATTATCAACATTTATCGATAACTTTACCGATAATGTAGATTCATGTATACACTCTCAATACTCGAGTATTTAGCACTCAAAGGCTAACGTCGTGTAAAATTTATTACAGGGTGTCCCAAAAATCTCATAATCTCCACGTTTCCGTTTAGTATGCCCGCATCTGGGACTTTGTTCGTTTTCAATAGCGATTCACGCGTATTGTAAATCCAACAGTTAACAGTCCGACGAACCGTAATTAGAAAGGTTTATGGCGGGGTCAGGCCATATGAAGTCATGAAAATGTTTTTCAGAACGCTGCCCCACCTGAAGAAGAAGTGACCGATCTGATGAGACAGCTGCAAGAGGCGCGGAGTCAAAGGGCAAGGGAACAAAAAAAGGTGACGGAGATTGGACAACAACTGGCGTCTTTGCTTCAGGAGAACAATGCTCTGGAGGAACAGATAAATATTTGGCGGAGCAAAGCCCAGGATGTGAAAAACCTACAAGAGGAAATAAACGCGCTCGAGGAAGTCAGGTACGTTTCGTGAAAATTCATTCCTTTTCTTTTAATGTTGCAACAAATACATTCTTAGAGTATTTGTAAATTAAGTAAAGAATGTTGCAACAAAGTGACTTTAAAAGTATTTGTAAGTTAAATAAAAATGTTGCAACAAAATAACTGAGAGTATTTTTAAATTGAATAAAAAATGTTGCAACAAAATGATTTTCAAGAGTATTTGTAATCTATATTTACAACGTGGAAGATTTTCTACGATTACTTTTTAAATAATCGTGTATTATTTTGTAATGTGTTTACTGATTTATTTACTGATTTATTTATGAATAAATATTGAATTTATATTATAACGAATAAATATTAAATTTAAATTAAATTTATCTGCGAATAAATCAATAATTACACAATTTAAAAGAAATTAGAATCTTCTTTTTTATTTGGAGGATCATTAAAAAGCTGTTTGTACCTTTAATAGTTGATTAAAAGTTGTATAATACTTCAATAGAATAAAGTAACAATAATTGAGTTTAAAACCAGTTTAACACTTTCCGCGAATACAACGTTTGTTGCTAATTTTATGTAAATGTTCAGTGTTCACAGAAGGAAAATGAAATATTTTACTTACTACAATATTATATGAAACGCATAAAGGGTTTTTCAAAAAGCTCCAAAAATAATAAAATTAATCCTAAGTGAATTGTATGAACAAGTAGTAATGTGATTTATCAATTATTAATGAATACACGTGTATAAATAATTAAGAAAGGACAAATTAACTGCAAATAATAACTTAATTTAGTTAATTTAATTTTAATTAATTGCAATAATTCTTAGAGTTATCTGTATTCTCATAAGAAACTTTACTGATCGATTTTTACGAGATTCTTTTATTGTAATAAACTTCACGCACAAAATATTCCTGTAAATTTTGTAACTTTCTATTAGAAATAATCTATATGACACTAAAATCTAATTTTCTCGAAACACATGACATAAATGTAAATATTCAACATAATATCGGCCAAGAGATATTTCTTTTAATCTACATTTTCTACATTTCCTTCTAAAAATTGACATTTCAGTACTCCACATTGACAAATTAATAGTAAACACTTTTTTAACTTACATAGATTACAATTATATTATATTAGTGCTATTTTATATAAAAATAAATTCGAACAATTAAAAGGACATAAGCTTTAAAATTTATATTGTCAAAAAAAAATGGAATTCTTCTAGACGAGGGCAGTTATGCGGACGATGTTTGCGAGGTATAGAGACAAAAACGCACGATGAAATTTCGGTGATGTTGGATCAGGAGGAATACGACGACATCAGTATGGCCGAATCGCTAATAAACGACAGTCAACGCGATACCGAGTCATTAACGCAGGTAAATTGTTTTGCTCATTTTTACAATGACTGTTTCATGGAAAGCTGCATACGCATGAAACGTTTTCTTTTGTTCGTTCTCCTATAAACGGTTTCAGACGGCGCGTGGTTCAGCAAGCCTGCCCCTTTATCGATAAATAATGACAAAAGAAATATACTTTATTACTTTTTTTTATACTTAATTACTTTATTAAAAGAAAGTCTTTTGTCGAACTGTGGTCATTCGACAAGCCTATGTATTCTCGATACTAAAACGGCCACGGTTCGATAATTTATATAGGATGTCCCATAATATGTGGGATCTACTTTCAGGTATCCCTGGAAGTAGATCGATCGATTCAGCATTCGAAATCAATGAAAAATGTTCATATAAATGTCATATGAATTACATTAAGCATTAGTTTCGAACAATAATTATGTGCATTGTTATATAGGGTGAGTCAATATGAACTACTATCTAAAATAACTGATTACTTATTAGTTGTATCAGAAAATGTTTAAATGAATTATGTAGCATTTTAAGGGCACATCGGATAGATACAATTTGATTTCATTCTTATCTTACTTTTTATTAAATATCACGGTGTTCTTGCGTTTTTTGTTATTAAAAAAAGACGCATTGACCTTGAAAAAACTCAAGGTCACCTTCATATTTAAAAGAAAATAAGATATAAAACAATCAAATTGTATCCATCCGATGCCATCCTTTAAAATGCTGCATAATTCACTAAAACATTTTTTGATACACTGAATAGATAACGAGTTATTTTAGATAATGATTCTTATTGACTCACCCTGTATATTGGTATATTATGTATGCATAATGTGTCATACAGATTATGGGACACTCTGTATAATATTTCGCCACCACTTATCGATGAAGTGACAGACTCGACGCCGTCTGAGGCCGCATTAACTGTGCTTCTATGACATTTATTTTCTGCTTTTCGAGCTGCTTTTAGGGCCTGTTCACACAAGATATTCACTCTCTAACCGCCGGTTTCCGGTATATACACACTCGCACATTTTTTATCTTCTGTAATAACAAAACTGTTAAGTAACAGTTGTTGTGACAATCGATCAATTAACACGTTGGCTGCCATGTGACACGCCGGCGGGTCATACCCTATCAGGCCCACAGTGCCGCCGTAAAGCTGCGTCTACACTATACAGCAAAACAGTGTTACATAACAAATTGTAATATAACTTTTCTATGCAACGTGTTTTTATAACTTGTTACAAGATACCTTTGGACAAATCTGTAACAAGTTTGTATAACTTATTTTCGAATCCCATTATTAAAAATGGTATTACACATAATGGATAACATATAAATTGCTATACAACACGAAAAATGTTATGTAACATCATGTATATAACATTTTCCTTTTTGTTTTTCTAACAAGGTTTGTAACTTTGCTATATAACATGTTATGCTACATAGTGTAGACATTTTCTAGTATTTTGTTGTTTCAAAAGTTACAATATAAAATAAATTGTTCTTACGGTTTTAAAAATGTTTGTTTTCCACTAAAGTCAATTGACTTTACGGTTTCTTTTAATTTGATTGAACAAGGGAGTAATGAAGATGTACTTTTATTGCTGTACTATGGTTTGATATGTTGGCACATGGGGAAAGAAAAGTAAAATCAGCTCCAACAGCCAATGTGTTGATATTGAAAATATGGGAACATTTCAAATTCCGTCATACTTTGATACTTTTCATTTGATATATTTTTATGATTTCGTAGCTAATTGGTTAATATAATGCACACAAAGCATAGAAGATTAGATACTATGTGAATCACGTGTTTCGATGTATTAGGTCGTTTCAGATGTTAGCGTTTTTAAGGATGAGTGAATTTCAGATCAGACATCAGTCATAATTCACGGAACTGTCATTCTCATTACGATTTTTACTTTATCTTAGAATAAAACATCATGTGCAGTGCTTCGATAGTTACTCAGTCAGTCAAACCTACACAGCCAGGTTTTGTGCAACGTCTGTTATAAGCTTTTGTAACCAGAATGACTACAGATTTGAGGTAGGATCTGCTGTAAACAATTTGTGCACAGATTGGCGGCCGATTAAGGGCAGATTCTGTAACAAATTATAAGTTGATGTAAGTCAGTTAGCCTGGGTTTGGTTGCAAGATCTGCCGCCAATCTGCTTCACGACTCTGTCAACCGAGTCTACTTGCAAAACCCAAGCCAAATGCGGAAAAAGATGGCTATGGATTTGTAGACAGATTTTGTCACAATTTGCTGCCAATCTGCACTCAACTGGTTATCGAGGTATATTCGTGTACTAGAAGTTATTAACATTTTTCTTCCCTCGAAGTAATACCTATCTCCACACAATATGTTTCCCAATCGATTTTTTATTATTTTGATAAAAGTATACGTCTCTTAAGTTTGTTTCTTATTAAAAGATATCGATAGCCTCAATCAAATTCATTTCAACGATAACGCAAATATTGAATATAATCCATGGAGGGACATTTGACAGTTCATAGAGATGCAACTAAATTTACAAATGCGTTAAACGTGCCGCAAAGTTTTTTCAACAAAACCCGTAGACTTATGAAACGACTTAATAGAAACGCAAAGATAGATCCTAGGAGATGTATATTAAATTCTGGCTAATAGAATATTGAACACGATCTCTACCAGTGTAGTGCCACACATCATTGGTTTACCAGAAGAATGACACCGAAGAAAAATTAATTTTTCAGGACATATCGGTTTGAAATTCATTGCGATACAAAATTAGTAATTAACCATGTTGCAGTGAAACGGATTTTTTTTTACAATTTAGCTAATAGTCTTTGGATTTTGAGGATCTCTAATAAAATATTGTTTATCTAGTGTTTACTATTTACAGAAAAGAGTTAAAAGTAAAACAAATTTGCCTAATAAGAAGAGTGTCACGAGTGCTCTCTAGTGGAGAGTACGTAAAATTTAGAAGTAATGCTCTTTCAGACCAAAATGTATCAGTTACAGTGAATTTTTGCAGATATGTATCTTATTGTTAGTTACACACGTATAACTGAAATAATTTCACGAATTTTTCATTCATCTTTTTTACATTTCAAAATAATCTTTGTATTATTCATTGTCTCTCTTGGGTACTCTTTAATGTCTAATTAAGAAAGAAAGTACTCTGGCGATCAATTTCAAAATAAAATAGCAGCAACGTGCTTTTAATCCTCCAAGCAACGCCGTTTATGGTAGTCATGACTGTATTTATTTATGCAAATTCAAATTTTTATAGACATACTTATGAAAATTGGGTATTCATTCGTTTATCTAAAGAAAGTTTTGTGGTTAACATAAACTAAAATCTTTATTAAATCCGACGAAAATTTTCACTTTATTGTGTTCTGCACTAAATAAATAAATCATTTTCCAATAATTATTTTCAAAACAGAAACTTAAACTCATTCATATTTGTAAAAGAAGGCTGCACAATTGATCAGAAATCATTTTCTGTCCAAACTAACATAAGACTAAGCTAGCACATGACGCCTTGAAGACGTCCATTTTACGGCTATTTTACGTCCAATGCGTCTTTAAGCCGTCTTCAAGGCGTCATTAGGCGTCATGTGCTATCCGGGGATAGAATAAATTGAAATAACACGGGGAAATGGGAAACTAAAAAAATGATGGCGAAAACAGGAGATGAAAAATGTGAAACTTGAAACCGGAAACCCGGTAAAAAGCCACCGAATGAATGGTATAAAAACTCCTTTCCTTTTGTAATATGTATATGCTTCGAGTGCAGTTTCGTGAATGGATGATTACTTGTGAAGGGCTTAAAGTTTTAAGCTATAAATTTTATTTGCTTTAGGGGAGACTCGCAAGAAAGATTATGAAACCGAAGGCAAAATATGAGAATAGAGAATTTCATTCCCCGTTATGGACCACTTTCGCGTATATATGGAAGGCACCGTCGTTGATTTTTGTTTTTTTCCACACGATATGCTATATAAAAAACGAGTGCGTCATACCGTTGTTGTTGAAACCATTTCGGATACCAATCTTCATTCTGAAAAAAGTTCTCACGCTGAAAGATCGCAAAAAACTGCTCTAGAATCGTTTCATTAAAAATGTTTGAGATTTAAAAGTAAAACCAGAGAAATCACTCGATGCATGGACGTAGTAAGATTATCTGTTTGCATTTCATAAATCGAACGCTATGTTGAGCAAATTTGAACAATTTTCGTTCCGACACTTTTTCTACAGTAGACACTGAAATGCTCGTTTAAAACTTTCTCTGAGTTGGTAATAATTAAACATGACGATTTTGCTGAATGATTTCGCTGTTTAAGACAATTAGGACAATATATGTTAGAATTGTTTTTAATTAAGCTCTAAGTTGTTCCGTTGTTGTTGAACGAAAGCAATAATTGTTTGTTTCGTATCTATTATAGTTTGTAGTTTCTGAATTAAGCAACACTTTCCGTTCGAAATTCCTATCTTTATTCTGGTATTTACTAGATTCGAAAAATCAGTTTGAAAACACATCAAAATGGTAAACACAGTGGTTAATCGCAACGAAAGTTAGCAAAATGGTATGATATAGATAAAAGAGTACGAAACTTACGACTTACATTATTAGGAAATAATAACGAATCTAATACATCGTAAATTAACGAAAATAATGTTAGATTCATTCGGTTGAAATGATTTGTATGAAAGTTATACATAAAAATTATCCATTTTTGCACGTAGATCATAAGAACAGTAGTAGAATTTTTACGAATTATACATATTATGCGTCGTCGAGAAAAAGAAAATGATTAATTTCCAAAGAAATAAGAAGACTGCGATGAATTAACGATTTAGAGTTGTCGTATCCCTTAGTATAATCGTTCGTGATAATCGTGTAAAATTTAAGTAGATTGGACTTTTGGTGATGCTGCTATTTTTTTCTTCTTTAGAGTTAAGTTTGCCTTACCGTGATTATCCGTGATGTTTGTTCGTTCGACTTGAAGCATGACCGAATATTGTTAGCGTATCTAGTCGAGGTATTTGTTAAATATTGTGTTGTACGGTGTAAGTGCCAGATTTATATGATCTTAAATAAAGCATATTTTTTCAATAAACTATGTCACATTCATTTATTTAATATCCTATAAATCTGGCGTTTTCCTCACCTATGATCCGATTATCCCTGCTTTCTTTAATACCACTAAAATGTTCATAATTGACTCACACTATTCGTTTGATTTCATGCAACTACATAGTGTATTTAAATCTAGATTACATTCATTAATTCTCGAATTTAATAATGGAAATCCAGGGAACTTGGAACTTATATAATAAATATTGAATATGAAGTCCTTTTGAACAAACTTTAAATTATTCAGCAGTCTAATGAGTAGTTCGTCTTTATTTGGAGGAAAATTTGTTCGAGTTACTTAAATATGCGTATGAACAACAATATTATTAACAACAATAATACAAGAGTATGAAAAATAACATATTTTACAACTTAATATTATTATTATAATTGAAGTTCATAGTTCATTTATTTTAATTTCCTTTTAACAATCATTAAAAATTCCATCTATATAAACACAAGAAATTATTCGAGTAAAGCAGATAACAATTCATTGGAGATGTTGATAGAAATTTCACTTGAATTATTATTAAATATTGGTTACAGTGAAAACTTTTAAGTTTGAAGTGTATTTAATAAGTATCTCTGCTAAGTATAATTCAAAATCACTCAAATAATCTTCGACTCTGCAAACCATTTAACTAATAAAATTCTATTATTTTACCGTCGTAATTTAAAAAATACAGTTGCCTTCAATTATTTTCTTACTTTATAAGTTGCATCTAAAAAGTTTTTAACAAGTTACAATATGACATTGGGGTTAAAATAATCTTTTCCACAAATATTATCGAAATTACCATGGGGGTAGCCAGGTTATCAGTCGGGGAAGGCAAAATGTAAGGTAAATTTCACAATATTATTTTCCTCCTCTGGGGGAGAGGGCAAACTCCTATTTTTTCCCTTCTAGGATATGGCAATGGTCCCTTTTTTCCCTCCAGAGAGGGGGGGGGGGTACGGGGCAAGTGCCTTCCTGGCTACGCCTATAGAAATTACATTCCTTAACTTTTCGCATTAATAGTAACCTTCAAACATAAAAATATGTCTTCTTGCAGGACTCGAATCACGAAGAGGTCAGTTCCAACGACCCAAAGAATCCCTACAGAGTGCTCGTGGAGAAGTACCAAGCCCTATTGGAAGTCCAAAGACGCTCAACGTCCCGACGAAAGGATGGCGTGCCCTGCATGTCGCTGCAAGAGGAGCTCGAAATGTCGGGCGAGTTCAATAATTTCCAAAGTTCGACATTAGAAGCGGAACTGCACCAAGATACGACGAAATCCGTCGTCGGTATGAACGGTACGCGTGGCAAGACCGAGATCTGCGGTAAGAAACCGTTCTCCGCTACTCCCACAGACTTCTCCGAGGCGGAAACATTGTCTTCCGGTTTCCTGGACGAGACGAGCAACAAAATGACGCAAACCGATGGAAGGCCTGGCTCGTTCCTATGTTCGATTGCTGACGGTGAAGACTGCAAGTTTAGCATTTACGACGATAACAGCCCGTTTGAAAGTAGATTCCGGAAAACGCCCGAGTACAGACAATTGTTCAGCGAGATATTCAGCGTTCTTAAACGAGCGGCCGAAGCGAAGGACGAAGGCGAAAAACTGCCGCTGTTGGACGATTCCGCGAGCACAACCGTCTCGCAACCGCAGTCCTCGATATTGGCGCACGAGGATCTGCCCAGTGAAACCACGGACGACAATCAGAGTGTCGTTTCCTCTGTCGTGGCCTCAGTCGTGTCCGAGCCACCGTACAGAGTGAAGAGCTCGATCTTAACCAATTCGTTGAACAAACGACACAACGAGTCCGAATCACACGAACAGGGTAAACACGGAAAGGTCGACGGCAAGAAACACGGAAACCGTCTGGATTATTTGAGCGCCAGCGTGCACGTCGCGAAGAAGTCGTCGAGGAAACATTTGAACAGACGGCTGTTGCACAACGAAAGGGCAACGACACCTGACGTGATTCCAACGACAAATCCTAAAATCGTCGCGCCAAAGTCGAACAGCGGCGGAAAGAAAAAGTTCCGACCGTTCAACGCCGCCGAGCAAAACGGTACAGTCTGTAACGAGTACAGTCCCACCAGCAAGACGAAAGACACGAAAGACTCGCCCCAGACTGTAAAGCAATGTAACTTGTATGCGCGCAACAATAACGATCAGCACAATAACAGTTTCGAGTACAGGGACTACAAGCCGAGCACCGCGTCGGTTGAAGTCGCCCGGTTGAAACGATTGGAAATGTCGTACGCGGAAGTACTCCGGTTGCCAAACAAATCCAAAGTGTGGAATCGTAGAAGTTAAGGGATTTTCTTAAACGAAACGATCGAGGGGGGATTTCGGAATAACAAAAAAGAGAGAGACTTTTATACGTAAGAAACATAGTCAAGTGAGATTAAGTTCAAAATTATTTGAGTTTAATGATGCGAGCGGATACTTAGAACAGGACAAGATTAAATTATTTCAGATCGTAAGATTCAGTATTGGTAATCAGTGCTAATTAAAACACATTTTGTAAATATCTATCAGAAGCGATCGCGCGTAGGCGTCTGTACTAGGACTAGGTACTAAACTATTTTACATTAATTTTTTTTATTATATTTTGTATCTTAAATTGTATATCTTTTTTTCATTGTGGATGTGAGAGGGTAACAAAGGTATACAAGCAACGTTTAATATATACTTTTCGATGATTACACGTGGTTAAATGAGCAAGACAAATTGATTCGTGTCTTGCCATTGTTCTCCCTTAGAAAATTGTAGTTGTCATGATGGAATAAAATTATTTATGTGCCATTTACTTCGTCGAATTACAATTGTCAACTACTTACTTACACTTCCCTAGGTGATCTAAGAAGACCTATCACTGAGAGGACTCGGTGCATGTCATTAATAGCATGTACTGTGTATTAGCTTTTATATTGTGTAGCTATGAACTAAACTATTGTGATTGTCTTATACCAAGCAAATAAACTCTTTAGTAGATTCTATCGCAGTAACGCCTCATCCCTTTCTAAATACATCTACGTACAGATCCCGTAGAAAGCCGCTAAACACTTTTATCTATGGAGAATTATGTTGTAAAAACTGTGAGTAATAGGTACACTGTATTTTTTATAATTCAATTTCTATGAAAAAAAGCATTTATTTTTTTCCTTCCTCGACATCTTACTTGAAACAAATTATTAGAAATTCCTAAATGTTTATAGTTTTATTAGAGTATATTAAACGTACAAGAAGCATCTTGTGTTTGTTGTTTACAGTTTAAATTCATTCACTATCGTGTTTATTCAGTTTATTTGCCGAAGCGTATTATATTTTATACAAATGAAAGATAAAATAAGTGATGTTCGGTTATTAGAAATTCCACCGAGAATAATTCCATTCTCTATACATTACGTTTTTGTTATACACTTGATTCCATCTCCCTATTTCCCGTTTTTATTTCCTTTTAAAAATATTTGGAATAAAAATCATTGCCATTAAACATGGCATTTTTGAATTAAGACTGATATATTTGATTAAGAATCATCGAACAATGCACGATGCACTGCTCCTAAACTCGGTTGTACGTAACTTGAACTAACGCTCCTCCTGGATCTGTAAACGTGCAGAGGAATAGAAATGCTTACGCACCAAAATTTTATTACTACACTACTATATACTCACTCTGTGATAGACCTAACAGCAGGTCCTGTTGGATTATTTTTTGGTCGTGGATTAACAAGGAGACATTTCATTGGATGACCATCCAATTGTCTATTATGATAAGTTTCGACAGCTTTTGTAGCATCCTTTAAGGTTTTATAAATTACTTCTGCAGTGCCTGGTCGTACTAATCTGGATACTAATAATTCTCCTACATCTTCGAATAATTCCTGAAGTAAAAGAACATTAATTTGTTTGCTTTTCCGTAACCCTAGTATACTAAACTATCGTAAAAATTACAACCTTGAACTCGCGATTCTCAGAAATCGATACAAAAAAATCAATAAAATAAACACAATGTAGGTTTCTATCTGAATAAAAATATTTTTCTAAAATATTACGTGTTTTCTTTCAGTCGTAATTTTTATGAATGATTAGTCCTAACGAAAGTAAAAAGATGGTATAGTGATATAGGGTTAAATTAATATTAAAAACGTTCAGTGAGATGAAGGAACTAATAATTGTACCTTGATATCTTCCTGTGTGACGTTTGCTTGTAAATTTGACACTACAATTCTGTAACCACTTGACTGTGACGGCGAACTAGAAGTCGGTTTGGGTCTGGATAAAACGCCCATAGTTCGTGATTTAGTTGGAATTGAATCTAATCTTGACTTTACACCCATATCTCTGTGACTTCTTGAATCATAATACTTTGGCTCCATTGGATCTTCCGCCAATATAGTACTACACAATAACATTATTGTTTGGAATTGTACATGAAAAATTTAATTGAATACTCAGATATACCAGTGATAACACGTACCGTGATTTTGTGCCAAAACTCCAGTCTTCCTTGTATGTAGGAGAGGCAGCTTTTGCCTGACAATATTAAGTATAAATACAAGTGTGAAATTTCTAGGGTGCATATACTAACTTTATTACAAAAACATTTACCATTGATGAACGTGCAATAACTTTATAGTCTCTCACTCTATCTCGCTCCCTATCAACATCAGGCTTCCGCGAAGGTACAATTCTTGTTATATTACTGCTTGTTGGTTTTACCCATGTATATGGAGATGCAGGCTTAATATTGAACACAGGAGGTGGAGGAGGTGGTGTAGGAGCATATTCATTGTTTACAGTTCTTCTTAAAGGTGCTGCTTCCATTAAATAGTCTGGAACATTCAGAGCATTAAATGATTGTATAAATACTGGATTATTATTTCAATTGCCCAAAACAAATATTTTATACCATCATTGTAATCCATACTCATGTCTCCAATATAATGAGGTTCCGCAAGTGGAGGTGGCCTATAACCGACTGCTCTTGTTGGTGGTGGCATATAATTGTTTGGAATATTTGGTGGTATAGAGTGTGGCATAATTGGAGGCATTTTATTAGTTGATAATGACAATCTTCCATTGCGACCCGTTTTTCGAGAAATTCCAGGCAATTGAACATCTACCTTTTGCAACTGAGACGCACGAATTTTATCTAACTTTAATCTCGCATCACTTTGTTTGGCAATTTCTGCTAATTTGTCTCTTGCATCTGTCAGCTTCTCCCGATTCTTTTGTATAATTTTAAACCGTGCATCTGTAATTACTTGTGAACCACGTCCTCTCACAGAACCATTTGCACGTGCACCCCTATTAATCCTCCTTCGAACGCTATATAACAAGTAATAAAATTTTATAACTGCGCTTACATAACTAAAACTATTTAATTTTCAACCTTACTTTTAAAAATAAATGTTTACCTATCATCATCAACTACAAACATTAATAACAAAGACTAATGTCAACCACCGATAAACAAGTATCAGTTACTTTAATATAATTAAATAGAAATGGTAGTTTCAAGCTTTTTTTTATTAAGTAGCAGTTAAATTTATGATAGTAGAAACTGTTTGTAACATCATTCAAAAAAATGTCATTAAGAAAAAAATTTCAATTTGGAGCATTATAACGACAATTTTAATTGGGGAAAAAGAAATTAACTTAAAAGTATTTTTATTTTCTACGTATGAAATCACTAAAGATGACTTTTGATCACTACAACTCTGGAATAATTTAAGGAGAAATACCGTGATTAAAATTATAATTTTTTACAAAAGTTGCCAGATATATAAATAGGCAATTCCCTTTGATATCTGAAGGCCCATTGTTTTTAAGGTTATACAGAAATCGATAGCACAGTAATCACCATAGAGTAAAATTTACTACTAATTTTTTTAAAGTGCCTCACCCTCCACCTTTGCTTCTCATCCCTGGTGATTTCGATTTTTTAATTATATCATCTAAACTTAGGCCCGAATCAGCCATACCGTAACAATTCGACGAATTCGACTACTCGAAACAGACGCGAATCATAAATCCAAAATTACAAACTACCTATACGTAAGACAGATCTTCATGTAACGACACGTCATCTACTGACAGCTTAAGTCATGAACTTGCATTCTGATGTTATTGATAAATTTATATAAATTACTTTAATGCATATGAAAAAAACGATTATACGTTACGATAGAAGCTTAAATTAAACATAAATTAAAAAATATGTATATATACATTATCATATATTTATATACCAGTAAACAATTCAATGTTTTGTAAAAATATTTGTGTCTTTTATATTATATTTCTATTTCTATGAATATTATTTTATTTTTTTTGCAAAGCAAAAGATTTGTTCATCTTATTCTAAATACACGAAAAGAATGAAATTCGTTTTATTTTCTGATTGGTAGAACGATGACAGAGTTTTCATTCCTACATACGAGGAATGAAAACATAAAAATGAAAAACAAAGATATAGGTTGAAATATATAAATTAAAATAAATGTAATCAATATAGACAATTATTGGAATAGTTTATATTCATCTTTCTGTTTCTGTTCACATTCATAGTTCCATCCATAGACATATATGTATAATAGACTACGTGATCTTATGGTAGGGATGAAGCGAGACCGAAGGACAGAAGTAGCGTTGGAGTCCTTCCTCTCTCGCTCGCACATCGCAGAGGATGGGGAGGAAGCGTCTGGAAGTCAATCGGAAGAAGGAATGCTGCACCACCGACTAGGTATACAATAGACCTATCATCCAATGCTTTTTTCTGTCCCACGTTCATAGGGCTGCGTAGCCCTGTTACCATTTTAGTGTCAATATCCGACGTTACCGATAAAGCATGAATTCTGAGTATTATTAGCACAAATGAAGTGTTATATATTCCATTCATATTACGTGTATCTATATGATTTTACGAGAACAAAAATATCCGATGCTTCAGTTTAAGGTAAGGGATAAATATGACAGTCATGAAACATGAAACGGAAAAGTATATATTTTTTCACTTAACTACAAGACAATTTATTCTAAATGCATCGTTAATGGACATTTTACTAATGTTACTATTTACATTTCTTGTTTTATTCGTTTTTATATCTTGCTTTACATTTGTATATTTGTAACAGATAAATTCAGAATAGATGTAGTTTCATAAATAATTTATTAAACCTACCTTTTGGCCGGCGGCTTACAATTTCCCTTGCGGGAATGCCTTATCGTAATGAGCCATCTCGTAACCGCGGGATTCCGGGAATCGGATGACGTTACGGCGTGCGAGCGAGAGCGATAGAGCGTGCCGCGGTATCGGTGCTCTCGGTCGGTCCAACGCGCTAGTGACGTTACGTCACACAGTTTATTGACCTAGCCGTGTACGCCGTACCAGGCCGTACCATCCGGTGTTTGGGTCGTTCAAGGAGGAAGGTCGTTCAAGTCGGCAAAAACAATTCAACACGAACAAACCTGCGTACGCCCAATACATAACGGCGTTAGCTTCCTCACTTTCTCGTGAGCCGTCGCGGAGGGTGGGCGTGCGTCTCATACTCGTCCTTTCTCTTGTTACTAACCCATTGTTTGTTGCAGGCATTCGACAACCATCAATTTATTTACTGTGCATATTGTTGTGTCCCCTCTCTTGTTACTAATCCCTTGTAGGTTACAGATGTCGAGAACCATTGGCTTCGATATTTATCTTCTTATGTACTGTGATTCATTTACTGTGATTTATTTACTGTGATTTATCTACTGTGCATATTATTAATTTATTTATTGTGCATATTGTTGTGTCCCCTCTCTTGTTACTAATCCTTTGTATGTTACAGATGTTCGAGAACCATTGACTTTGATATTTATTTTCTTATGTACTGTGATTCATTTACTGTGATTTATTTACTGTGCATATTAT